ATTGACAAACCAAAAATTCTTGCATTACTGTCCCATTAAAGGTACTGGCAAAACTGTATTGGCTGCTACTGGTAACAATTCCGCTCATTTGGCTCCAGTTTCTAAAAGTGTCTAAAAGTCTCCTTATGTGTGCACCACAACCTAAACTTGGAGCTGAAAAGTTAGCCTAAAGCACTTTTTGTAGTTTTAGGAAATGGCGAAGACCTTAATTTATTTTATTTATTTATTGCTGTCTCGGTCTCCTCTGTAAGTATTCCCCTTGTTTTCTGCCCCAAAGACACATGAGAAAGCAAGAGAAGATCTCTCTGAAGTGAAGGAATATCCCCTCTCAGTTGTCACCAGAACAGGTGCCCCCATACCCCATTGAAAGATTTGCCCTTGTTGTTCCTATCCAAAATGTTGGAATCCCCATTACTTTCTTCACTGGATACAATGGTCACCAAGACCAAGGTAACTCTTCTGAGGGGGGCAGGGGCATCAACAAAAACATGTCAGAGGTTCCACCCTTCCACATTCTAAGGAAAACTGCAAAGAAATGTTTTGGCTTTACATATCCTTTAACTTTTTTTTAGTGTTTGCCCCTCTTAGGCGAACAATGGTAAATACAGCAAGAAGATAATTTCTCCAAATAAGGTGTTAAAAGGACACTGATAACTGGACAGACAGCCGGCTGAATACACTGCCCCACGTCTGCATGCAGACACAACAAATAGTTGTCATCATGGCCACGGTTGTCCTATAGAGCCGAGGCTTGGGATGCTCCTGGACTTTGACTAGTGGCTGTAAAGGAGGGGATAACAAGTAGCTGGTAGAACAGGCCAATATTTAACTAGGATGGTTGGTCATCAGATCTTTCTTTGTTTGCTTGCAAATTAATCAGCCAGCGCACAGTCGGCGCCAGTGTAGATTTATCGCACTCGGGAGGGTGAGTAAGGGCGGCCACAGGACACAAAGCCGCTTCGCACCTTCCTGCTTTTGATCCTAGATTATTGCAGCCTCCTTACACAATACTAGACTCCAGGGAGCTGAGGATGGGAGGTCACTCATTAGGGAGGGAAGACTCAGCTCTAGTGGGATACAGCGCATAGCTGAACCCAGCCCAGAGGCACAATGGGGACGACTGGTGTCTGAGCATTAGGGCACTGGCAGTACAGCACTCGTGTGGCCCCTGGATCATTAATAATGCATATGGGCAGGCATGGAGCAAAGATGTCACTGTGTCTGAGGAGCATGCAGCTTCAGCAATGCATGCATGTTTAATAGGCACAGAGATGTGGATGTGTCTAGTATGCCATGCCAACCACAAGCCCATAAATGAATATATATATATCACAATCCACATCCTTTCCTCCTTTCCCATTTTAAACATGCATGCATTGCTAAAATAATATTATTATACTACATTATGCACAGACCATGTATACATTTCATTGGACTCAGATTGTTGCTGCATATTATTTAACTTTTCCAAAGCAACTCAGATAGCTTTGTACACTGTTTTATTAAATGTCTGCAGATTATCTTAAACAAACTAACAAACTCAGCTAGCATGCGATCTATGTTTTCCTCCCCCCAAAAAATGAAGGTGACCCTTTTAGTTCTTTCTACAGAGATACCCGTGTGTCATTGCCCCTTGTCCTCCTCCCCTAGCCCCCCTCCCCTGTACAAAGCCCATCAAGCTGTGTGTTTATCCCTGCTGTGCACATTGAGGGGGGCAGTAAAAAAGTGGCAGTTGTAGCCCGGGCACTGTCCTCTGCTTGTGTTATTCTTTGCGGAGAGAAGAGGTGAAAATTGGAGCCAATTAAGTGACACACGCAGCTAAAGGCTACAGACCTCAAATCAATCGTAACCACAGGATTTAACTGAGTCTCCCCGGGGAAAACAAGAGCATTAGCCACATCCTATAGGTTTTATACAGAAAATATCTTATTTGTTTGTATTCCACAGCCTAATAATTGTATGATATTTATAGGAAATGCAGGCTAGTCTCTGAGCACAGGCAAGCTCCATATGCTACTTAAAGGATGCGGGCTGGCCTTGATCCCTCTCCTTGCAGACTGAACCCCCCTCCCATACAATATATCCTGGTGAATGAGAGGGATCCGAGACTCTGGCCACTAAACAGACTTGACCAGGCTGGCGCCGAATGCTCTTAAGTATGTGAGTCAAAAATGTAATGTTGGGAGAGCTAATCACTTCAGATGTTCCGCTCCTATCTCACTGCATTTAGCTCACAATGCTGCTCCTTTCTTCCCTCACTAACAATCTGCTCTCCCATCTAGCATTTTAACCCTTTCCGCTGCATACCTACATTTAACACATTCATGCCTTGCTGTCACTGGGCATAGACTAGAGCACAGATAAATGCAGGGCCATTTATGTCCCGATCATTGCATGAGCAGTAATGTTTAGCTTTATCATGGCATAGTAGGAGACACAATAAAAATCAATACTCGTGTGACAGCTAATCACCAAGAGTGGACTAGATAATACAGTTGTACGATATGAGGCATTAGTGGCTGAATTCCCAGAGGAACAAACAGCAGAGCCAGCCAGCCAGAGACTGGACATTTCACGGTTTGTCTTACAAATGACGTCTTGATTACTGGACAGATAGGGCCAGGGTGAAGAAAGGCTACAGGGCCGGCAATCTGTCCAAGTGATCCCAGGGTGAGATATCACACGGAATTAGTGCAGAGAAGGGACACTGATGTCTCGGAGATTACAAGCCTTATCCCTACAAAATACACTTTCTCCAGTCCTGCTGGGAGAAGGAGGAGGGGGATCTCACCAAAGCACTCTCACATCCAGCAATATGCCCAGTGAATTAAATGTTACAGTTTCATTAAATGCACTTCACTGTGGAATTTTATGATACAAAGTAGAGAAAATGTATGGATACAAAAGAACTATAAACGAGTATCTGTGATTCTGGTTGTACTGTATACGCTTGTGAGAAAGAAAGAAAGAAAGAAAGAAAGAAAGAAAGAAAGAAAGAAAGAAAGAAAGAAAGAAAGAAAGAAAGAAAGAAAGAAAGAAAGAAAGAAAGAAAAAAGAACAATGCATAGATTCTGCATATACGTTGTACAGTTACACTGATATATAGGTATTCAATATAAAAGTATGGAGAGAGAAAGATAGATGGTTTGATAGATGACCAAATATACATGTATAGAAGAGATAGATAGATAGATAGATAGATAGATAGATAGATAGATAGATAGAATGTATAAAACTTACACAACACGTTATTGGACTTGTATACAACTTATAAAACTATAAAAAAAAAAAACAAATAAAAAAAATACATATATCTGTGAATATAGGTGCACTATTTTCAGATGGCTGTCTATATAGAGAGATGATAGATAGATAGATAGATAGATAGATAGATAGATAGATAGATAGATATTAAATATTTAGATAGGTAGATAGGCAGATAATGTATTCAATATACAGGTATAAAGAGATAGATAGATTTACATACATTAATATGCCCCTGCAGACATACTTCTAGTACACTTCTGTGCATGTGAAGTCTTGCAAAAAGCTATGGTAGTGTAAATGTGCTCAATACAATCCCTACAAAATAGCTAACACACCAGGATAAGGATGTTTTTGTTTTTGTTTGGTTTTTTTTTAAAGTGACAGTTATTTGCTGCTCAACCCTTTGAGATTTACAATTTACATTTAGGTGTCAAAAATAAAAATCCTTCTCCATGTGAAGAAGCCATGTGGTGTGAGCCTCATGCATGTATATGTATGACCCAGAGAGGCAATGAGGCACTTTTTTGGGTCTCGCCTGTTGCTCTGGGGTGTGAGTGTGTTCCTGAGTGTCTGATTTTGCACTGGGCTCTGGTTTCCCTGAGTCCAGCCCAAAATCTCTGAACTGCTCGCACTTATCCTTCCTGCCATTGTGCTGGGACAAGGCGATGAAATGGGATCCCCACTGAGAGGCCGTTGATAAGTCAGAAATTGGAAGTGGCCGAAAGGCTCTGGAACAGAACCCATAGCTGCAGATGGGGTGTCAGAGAAAAGCCTGCCCTCTGTGGACACATCCAGTTACAGGCTGCTCCCCCTCCCCCTCCTCCTGTGTGCTGGCTGCTTGTCTATGTGTTTATTCTCTCTCTGTCTTTCCTACAAAGCCACCTAGAGGTTACTGACTTTCTCTGCCAGTGAATAGCTTGTTCTGTTCTTCCACACCCCCCTCCTCCTCCCCTACACCTTCCTGCTCTATCCCCTCCCATCTGATCATGTTGACATATTCACACGGCATTATGTAGTAGTGATGCTTTGCTGCAACGTTACAGCTTCCGACACCTTCTTTTTATAACTCAACCCTGTCCCCATCCACCAGACCTGTCAAAACCACGCCTATGGAGCCACACAATTGGTCCAAAAGCGTCAAAGGGCCAATCAACTAGGTCTGGACTTCTTGCATTGCCACAACACATCCCTAGGATCTGGTGTAAGGAGAGAGTCCATTCACACAGAGAATACTTGGAGCGGAGAGTGTCCCTCTTTCTATTTTCTCTCCTCCCGTGTCCCCTCTTTCACACTCTCTCTCTTTCTCTGTCTCTCCTTCACTCCTCTCTCTGTACAGGACTATTTTAGAACCTTTCTTCCAGCACAAGAGCAAACCACACAAGAGAGGCTGCATGCTCCAAGAAGAGGTGATCACAAGTCGGAGAACATACAAAAATACATAGTAGTCATTAGCTGCTACCTTACCAGTGGAAGAGAGAAGAGAGTGTCCAGAGAGGATCCAGGATTGAGAGACCGGGACCCCAGCTTCTTCTCAGCACAAGGCTGGACTCGTGAAGGAGTTCTTGTGGCTGCTACGGGATATTTAACTTTGATTTTTCCTGTGCGACTCCATCCATCTCCTCTTTTTTTATTGGACTTCTCCTTTTCAGCCGGCCTGTTGTATTTATTGCAGTTACCCTGGACTTTGTGTTGCCCTTATTATGTTCCTGTGAAGGTCCCTCTAGCGTGGACTAAGTCCTGAGCTGAGCTGTCCAGAGGGTTGGAGTGGATGAATTTATCCATGAGAGATCCAGTAATTTCAGGGACAAGCATGGCTTACCACCCATTCCTCTCCCACCGGGCACCGGACTTTGCAATGAGCGCCGTCCTTGGACACCAGCCTTCCTTTTTCCCAACTCTCGCTCTGCCACCCAATGGGGCTGCTCTTTCCCTTCATAGTGCCCTAGCCAAGCCCATCATGGATCAATTAGTGGGTGCCGCAGAGGCAGGCATCCCCTTTTCTTCTCTGGGTCACCAAGCAGCTTCTCATTTGAGGCCTCTCAAAACCCTTGAACCAGAAGAAGAAGTTGAAGATGATCCAAAAGTTCATCTGGAAGCCAAGGATCTCTGGGAACAGTTCCACAAGAGGGGGACTGAGATGGTCATCACTAAATCTGGGAGGTGAGTCATAGCCTTTTGTTTTTTATTATCTATTAATTGGCCCCAAACACTAGACCTACACACAGACACTCCAAGTGCAGACAGTGAGGAGCTTCTAGAAGCAGGATACGATAATAGGTTGAATGGAAATTCTTTGGCTATCGCTTCAATGATCTGCTGTTGTCATGCCAAGGAGTACTGATTACCTGGGAAATATTTACATGTTTATTGCAAATAGTTTTTATGACTGCACTTTTCCAACATTTTACAGAGGCCAGTCAATGGGTGAGCATCCTGTGACCCCAGCACCATCTGTACCTGTTGTGGTGGTTAAAGTTTTGTATGGCAGTTTAGAGCAAAAATACTGATTCTTTTATGATATAATGCATTTCCTGGTTAGTTGCTACAACAGATTGTAACTTTGTGGCCTTCTCTCTAAGTTTAATCGGATACACCTCTGCTTGCATTTGGTACTGCTGGATCTGTCAGAGCCTGACGACTAAAATATTATTGTTATATTCACTCTTCATTCAAAAAAAACACGTCAAATATTGACTGAGATAATCAAAGCCTACAGAAGATTTTTAACTCGTTCCGTGCAGGCAGCAGGAACTCGATTTGACAAGGTTAAACATTAATCTGCGCTGCTTTGATCTTTTGGTTATAGCACTCTGCTCGTTATAATGCCGACAGACTGTCTGTATATATGTAAATAGCTGTATTTTATTGTGGTAGCAAGCGGTCATGGTTGACAGATCTGCAATTCTTTGCCATTCTTGTCTTTTAGGAGAATGTTTCCCCCGTTTAAAGTCCGCTGCACAGGCCTTGACAAGAAGGCTAAGTACATTCTGCTCATGGATATAGTGGCTGCAGATGACTGCAGGTATAAGTTCCATAATTCTCGCTGGATGGTGGCTGGTAAGGCTGATCCTGAAATGCCCAAAAGAATGTACATCCACCCAGACAGCCCAGCTACAGGGGAGCAATGGATGTCCAAAGTGGTGACCTTCCATAAACTCAAGCTCACTAACAATATCTCTGATAAACATGGATTTGTAAGTATTATTTACCTTACCTTAGGCCAGGACTTCTTTGTTATGTGTACTAATAAATGTGGAATATTAAATCAATATTATTTTAATATTAAATAACATATGAGCACCATTATTAATATATTTTATGCAAATAAATATATTTCAACTATATTAAAATAAATACAATATTACTGCAGAAACTTTTTCGTCACTAGACTATTTCTTTGCAATACTTTTTTGTATTATGTTTCTTATTTTCATTTTAATTGCACATGATTTTCCATCTAACCTGACCTCTCCTTTTAGCAAGACCATTAAAAGTAAACTTACTGGGGGGAAAAAAAGCGATAAAAGCGCCGCTGTGCGCACGGGGTCTGCAGGGGTGACACAGATAATAAAGTGTGAGCTTTCAAACATATAATCGATGGCTGAATTAGATGCAAATTAATTTTCTGCTCTCTTCAGTGGAATTGATAGCTTTATTACTCCAGCTGATGAAAGCGGCTTATTAATGAGATAAAATAAGTACGTTGATTAGTTGAGAGTGGGTGATAAATTATGTCAGATTCCTTTTAGTCTGCGAACAAAAAAAATACAGGGGTTTATATGTTCTTTTTCGTCTGTTTACCTATAAAGCCTTCGATATATTTGAAGCTTTGTGCAGAATGATTTCTGCATAGTCATTAGTATACCTGCAGAGTCTGAATGTGTTAATGAAAAAAACATATTAGATAGATAGATAGATAGATAGATAGATAGACATAATAACACCTATAAAAATAAGCTGAGTGTGCAGTTTTGTGACTTACTATAAATTGTTTTAGTATGAAGACTAACAACAACAAAAAAAACTGCTAGCATTAAATAAATAATTGTGTTAGTAAGGCAAACTTTAAGTGTAAATATGTCTTGCTAGATTGAGTCATGCAATCATGTTTTATTCAGTTATTTCGCTATATTGTTATGTGTTATACCATGTTACAAAATGCAGGCCACGTTTGGAGTTATCCAAGCTCTTCTAGTTACAGTGTTTTGCCCATAAAGTTTCATTTTACTGTGCTGAAAATATGATTCTAGTAAATTTTGTGTTTGCTTTTGGCTTACATTGCAGTGAAATAGACCCAATTATCTGAGTAACAAACATGTTGTCTGTTAAATTATTGATTTTTTTTTCTTTGACTTTTCAGACTATTTTAAACTCGATGCACAAATACCAGCCACGGTTCCACATAGTGCGGGCGAATGACATTTTGAAACTCCCCTACAGCACATTCAGAACCTATGTGTTCCCTGAGACTGATTTCATAGCAGTGACTGCATACCAGAATGATAAGGTAAGAAGCTTATAGGGATTTATCCAACGTGGTTTGGCGTTTTTCCACAAAGATTTTATTATGCATAGTCCCGAGTCAGGAAGGTAGACCACCCCTCCCCCATCCCACCTCCACCCTGACTATCTTATCTGACAGAGGGCACATCATTAAATGTATGGTGGACTTAGAAAATCGGTGTTTCAGCTTGTTGTGCTCTTTTAAAGAGTGGACTTTCCACTTTTGTCAGTACAAAGTATGTCTGAGAAAGATCAAAGTGGTAATGTATGTGTTGCTTGTAAATATTTAACAATATGGAGACTATGGGATGTTTAACATTTGTTATATAGCCTTTGCTGGGCAGATCTGTCCCTGACTATGACAAGGGGAGTCTGAGTGACATTCAATGAGACATCTCAAGAACTGTTAATTGTGCCCTTATTGATTACAGACCATTGATACATTATTTAATACAGACATAGGGTCTGATTTACATAAAGGGATCATTTGTAGGCTAATTCCAACCATTCTCTGCTGGCCAGAAAGACATAATTAAGTTCCAGATTAATTTATTTATTTTTATTTCTCTTAACTGATTGGATGTTTTTAAGGAACACAGGCCTGGCCTTTTTAAAACTATAGCTTCATACAAACTTCACATATATTTTACATTCAGCTGTAAAATAGATATCAATAATATCATAAGATAGAATTAAAAGCATTACAGTCTTCAATATAGATTTTTTTTTCTGAACTGTACATTACATTATTGTCTTCTGACCTGAATCCCTGTGGAATACAGTGGTTTTAGTTGACGTTAAAATATAAAAACCTCCAAAACTCCAGGATAGATAGATAGATTTTCATGTTCATAATATTAATCTGGTATAGTTACATTGCATAAATGTAAACATTTCTGCAACTATTGCAGTTTATTATTTGTTGTTGTTGCCATAATGAGTAGTAGTAGTTAATACTTAATTTCTGGGTATATAAAAGATGGAATTGAAAGAATGGAAAGTTGCAATTTTATATTGTTGTAGGACAGAAGAGTTGTGTGATCCGATCAGCTAATATTGTATTTTGAGTGGTTGTAGGGACAAGTTACATTGTTGTGTGAGTAGGTTACCCCGTTGTATGAGACGTTACATTGTGTTCTCAGCACTGTATACCATTATTAACTTCTTACTGCAAGTCACAGTCAGATTTAGATAAAGTTGGTCTGCAGCATGGAATATTTTAGATCGATGTTTTGCTTTTATAGTTGTTAATTTTATTCAAACCTCGTGAAATTTACGAGGAAATTTTTATTTCTATGAAATTACTATGAAAAAAAATATATACAGTTTTAAAAATCTGTTCATAAGACCAAACGCAGTTAAAATAAACACGAAGAGGGGAGCGCTGCGTATTTTGGCTGTCCCATTAATATGAAAGTAAATGTTATTTCGGATCCAGATAAAACGCTGAGCTGAGCCAAACACTCTCCAATATGTTTAATAGCAGCGTTTTACTCCTACCTCCAGCGAAAAGTTTAAGGTTCTATTTATATAGAAGATGGAAATGCTTGTAAAATGAAGGCTACCTGAGAAATATGCGGACCTGTCACTGCCATTGCTTGCTGTAGGGTGATAGTGCCTAGAACTGAGCTGCTCCTGGGATTGGTCACAACGGGGGCATTTTCTTACGTGTGCCCAAGAATTTCTTACACCTTGGATAGAAAGGGCAGAATGACACTGTGCTGTCACATAGCTCAGCCATCTCACCCCAGCGCCTCATAGAAGCCATTTCACGGCTTGCTTTTCTAACCACACTGCTAGATGACTTTGTCTCTCTTTGTAACATTTCTCAGCTAGGCGCCTGTCTTACAACATACATACATGTACAGACAGACCATAGGTACATGCAGAGCTACATACACTGTGGGACTAGAAGTCTCAGAAAACAAAACAGCTACAGAAAGGGAAAGGGAGAGAAGAAAGTGAGGGAGAGAGAGAGAGGGAGAGGGAGAGAGAGAAGGAGGGAGGGAAAAGACAGATCCTTGAAAGGATAGATTTATTTAACTTTACCTACACAGAAAATAGATGCATGATTAGAGTTACTGATAGATAGATAGATAGATAGATAGATAGATAGATAAAAACATAGATATGAGATAGATAGATAGATAGATAGATAGATAGATAGATAGATGGATAGATAGATAGATACTAAGAGATATCAGAAGCATGGGTAGACCAATAGACAGATCAATAGGATAAAGATAGGTGAATAGACTTCCTAAAATCCTAAATATTTTAATTTGTGGCTTCCATGTTCGATCTGATTTACAATAATTGTAATAAATAAAAGTTCTATTTTTTTTTCAGCACTACATTTGTGATCGCCATCAGCTGATGGATATGGGCTGATTTACTAACGGGTGTACGTTGCTGACAAACTGAGAGGACATTTTCATTCCGCCCTATTAATCTAGTAATATATCCATATAGTTTTCTTGGGCATATTAGGATAAGGTTGAAGTCGCTGGTCTGGTGTAGGGTCTTCTCCTATTAGTAAATAGCTGACCAGAGTAGATGGTAGGTGTGGAGGTGTAGTGTCATCTTTATGGCCCCCACTCTGCAGAGGGCTGGAGGTTGCCAGGTCTCCAGTGGTGAGGACATACCAGAGGTCAAATACTTCTGTCTCCCGGCTGTTTATATTCTGTGCAGGGGAATTATACACATTAAATGTGCGATTTGCTTTTCTCAAGGAAACAACTGACCCTTCAGTCCATGCGAGCCTTTGATGAGCAGCAGAAGAAAGATAATGGCAGCTCAGACGAGTCCTCCAGTGAACAGACTGCGTTTAAATGTTTTGCCCAGACCTCCTCTCCAACCGCATCTGCAGTGGGCACTTCAAACCTTAAAGGTACATTCCTAATCTCCCATTAACCCCATCACTCAGAGCTCCCTCTTCACAGCAGCGTACCGATCGCTAATCCCACTTCTTGTGCTTGGAATGGGGCTCGCTGGGTTAACAGGAAGAAGTCGGGACAAGTTGGCGGCTCGGTCCTCTTAACCCTTTAACCCCCACATGCAAGACAAAAAAAAATTTGCTAATCTTGTTTATATAGTGTGACTGGATGAGACTTTACACAGTTGAAGTTGCTTCCATAATTTACAATTAGGAAGAAAACGGTATTATTACATTATTCATGTATGCCTAACGCATAATAGTGTAATCTATGATCAGAAAGCAAGATATAGAGGAAAATGTATTAAAGGAGAATCTTCACACAACAAATGGTGGGAATAGTCATTCAAATAATCCAGTAATGTGAACAGCCAATTCCTGTTTACTTATTTCATCAGCACGTAGTATTTGGATATTTGAAGTAAAAATTCTCACAATTTTCTGTGTGAAAATTCTCAACTCCTTTTGTAAACCAGCCCAATCTTAGTTCACATGATCCATGTTATGTGCATATAAATATCGTTCATATTCGGTATTATTCTGTATAATCTCTACTGACGCTGTATAACCAAACTCCCTATTAGTAATTGCCGATTGTGTGATACATAGAGCGATATAATAGACTTTCTGATCCAGTGAGATAACTGAAAGAAGTAACCTATAATTAGATATGTGATACATTCATAATGCCAAACTCTCAGGACATTATCCATATATTACATTGGGTATCTAAAGAAAACCATCTTAGGTGACAGTTGGTCTCATTTATGTTCACTCTACAACCTGTGTCTAGTTTAGTGAATACGGTAAACTGGTTTAAATTTAAAAACCCCATTATGTGCAAGGGAATGTATAATTGCAGTGGACACGGCTTCACCTCATTCACTAAGATAAGTGAATAATAAATGATCTACCGTTGTAGTCGGTCCCCCCAATGTCTGCTATAAGGTAGTCCACATAGTGTTAACTCATCGCTGAAGGTCTGATGTCTTTGTTGTAGGACTGTGTGACAGTGAAGGGGACAGTGAGGATGACAGTAAGGAAGAAGTTTGCCCAGACACTGGGGACTCTACCAAGATCTCCACCACCACCTCAAGCACAGAGCACCCGAAGGAGATAAGAAGTCCATCTAAGTTGTCCCCATACCCCTCGGCCAGGACTGAGAAGAGCTCCCCAGATTCCAGGCACAGCCCAACACAGATCTCCTCCAGTGGAAGGGTCTTGAGTAGGGAGGATCTGAAGAGTCCCACCAGGGAGTCGCATAAACTGGATGAGCCCAAACACTCTAAGGAGCATTTCCCACCCTTGACTGTGCAGACAGACAGCAGCTCCCACCACCTGAACCAAACCCATCTACAGAACCTTGGATTTCCTCATGGCTTAAGTGGGCAGCAGTTCTTTAACCCCTTGGGGGCCTCTCACCCTCTTCTGCTACACCCCAGCCAGTTTGCCATGGGAGGGGCATTTTCCAGCATGGCGACTGGCATGAGCCCGTTGTTAGCCTCTGTTTCAGGAGCTGCATCGGGAGTGAACAGCCTAGAGTCTACAGTAATGGCCTCCTCATCTCAAGGGCTACCGGGGACCTCAGCTTTACCTTTCCACCTCCAGCAGCATGTCCTTGCCTCTCAGGTAATTTAATAATCATTAAAATGGCTACCTTTTTTGGGTATGGCACCTGCATAAACCAGAGAGCAGCATATTTCACAAAGGCTTACACTTCCTATCACATATGCCATTTGACTATGTCTGTTTCTTACATATTTAGTATTCCCTAAAAGGTGTGGATTTTCCTTAAATGTTTAGTACAATTGTTTGTTTTTTTATTTAAAAAAATCCATTAGCTGAGAGAAGAGGTTCACCTTCCTATAAGGTTTACCTAGAGCAGAAAAAAATCCCAACACCTTCCCTATACCTATGTATTAGAGTCCTACCATCATGAAGAGCCTGTGTCTTTTTTATCCACAGTCCTTTCATGAGTTAATCAGCATTTTCCGACAATGTGCCAAAGCGTGTACCTGACCATGTGTATACCTGAGTAATCATTCCTTCTCTTTCATCTACTTACCTTTCAAAGAGCCATGATCTCTCAGTTTGATTCATGTGTTATGTGTCATGAATTATGTACACTTTGACCCCTATTCATTGCCAGACACCGGTTTGAACGAACGCTGGCTGCTAAAAAAAAAAAAAAAAACCAAAAAAATTTTTTTTTTTTTCAAAATGTTAAAAAAGCCAGACAATTTGTGTGCTTTCACTAGAGTATTTCTCTGGGTAGACAACATTATACATAACATTAATAATGTAATTTCCTATCCCCTGAATATAGAGCAGTGGTTGTTTGATTGTATGAGAATTGCTTTTGTAGATGTCTATCTTTTTCATGTGTAATAGCTTTGGCTGTTAATGACTGATGTGCTGTTTTGTATTTTGCAGGGCCTGGCCATGTCCCCTTTTGGAGGACTCTTCTCCTACCCTTACACTTACATGGCTGCAGCTGCTGCGGCTTCCTCGGCTGTCCACAGGCACCCTTTTTTGAATGCTGTGCGCCCCAGGCTGAGGTATAACCCCTACTCCTTTCCCATGCCTATCCATGACAGCAACAGCCTCCTAACCACTGCCCTCCATTCACTCCACAATGGCACCCTAGAAGGGAAAGGTCCCAGCCTGGTACCTAGCCCAGCCTCTGCAGCTCTGGACTCTGAACTGACCAGCAGATCTTCAACCCTGTCTTCTGGATCTGTCTCTTTATCCCCTAAACTTTGTCCAGACAAGGAGGTCAGCAGTGAACTGCAAAACATCCAGCGCCTGGTCAGTGGACTGGACTCTAAGCAGGAGCAGCCCTAGTCACTATATGCACACATGTTCAGTCCACAGCTATCCGGCAGGAGGGAGCAGAAGGGGGTTGCTTATAAGCTGCTAACCAGATCATATCAATGTATCCTCTACCACTATCTAGCCCCCCGACTAGACAAGTGCTTACCTGCATGTTTAGTAGAAATACCTCCATGGGGTGTAAGCAGAGAACATGTAGACATAGAATCACTGCACACTAAAACTTGAATATCGGTTTAAAGGTAATTTATACATAGAGCCAGCTTCTGGCTACTCATACTATTATTATGTAATTATTTGGTAACTCCTGTACATAAAATAGGAAGACAGATTCCGACTATTAAACTTTTAATTTATTTATATTGTACATAGTTTTGTAAATAGGACTCGAATTGTGTTTTATTTTGGCGTGTGTTTAACCTATTGGGTGCCAAAGGGACAGCAAAAAAAAAAGTGCGTGGCACAGAGAGAGTTCAGATCATTTCCATTTCAGTCACAGATTCAATGTTTGCAGTATGACCATGTGCAAAAATGTGCATGTGCATGGCAGGGGGATTCCTAATCTTTGTGTAGCCACATGCACATATACAGTGCACACTGGCCAGCTGACAGTCGGGATGTGTACATGGATTGGGCTTGTCCCCTGAAAGACTTGAAAGAGTTAACACAACCCGGCCTCTGAACATTTCAGCCCGTTCTTAGTAAATCGGTGTGATCCTGCCATGTTTTACCTGCTGGTCTGTGTACAGCTTCTCCCTGAGCTGTGTGGCTAATAATATATGAAGGTATAAATACATACTTATATATGTACGATGTAATGAATGTTTCATAGGTATTGTTTCCCCTGTATTTTATTTTCAAAGTCTCAACAAGTTTCAATAAATTTTTTTTTTTTATTGAATTGTACTGAATTTGCTGTGTGCGTAAATATATCTGTAAGAAGGTCAGCAGCTGAAATGGTTAGTTTAACATTATAATCAATAATTTAAAAAAATTAGAACTAATCTGATATTTAGGGGTTAAAGGACTAGGGGGTCATCAGACTAGTGGGCCAATTCCTATAAAATGGCCAATGACATTGGAAAGACACAATATATAAAAACTTACAATTGTGGAATGAACTGATATAGATATATATGTACAGATCACACAGAAGCAAACATGGTCATAAATGTAATAAAGCATTTGTATAATATTTGGTTCCCCCAGACTGATGATCAGTATGTGTATGTACATACACATACTGTATCAAAATGGAGAGGGGACCCCATAGACTGATGATCTGTATGTATCTGTACAATATTATACAAATGCTGTGTACACAGATACACCTAGGGGAGTGTACCCCTATAGAGTTATGATCAGTATCTGTACACATGGGTAAAGTAAATCCAGACTGGTGATCAGCATGTATCTGTGCACAGGGGGGGGGGGGGGGGGGGAGGACCCCATAGATCAATGATCAGTATGCATCAGTACACACAGGAGAGAGAGAATCCCAAGATAAGTGTCAGTACACAGGGAAAAGTGAACCCCATAGATTGATGATCAGTATGTACCTTTAAACAGTGGAGAGAGGGAAATCCATAAACTGGTAATCAGTATGTATTTAAACACAAGCGGGAAAAAGGGACACGGAAGTCTACCATAGACTGATGGTCAGTATGTATCTGGAGGGAGAGGTAACCCCATAGACTGGTAAACAGTTGGCTTCTGTATAAGGGAGGGCGATCCCATAGAATAGTGCTCAATATGTATCTATATACCCCATAGACTGGTGATCAGTATGTATCCGTGCATAAGGGGAAGAGAGGACCCCTCAGACTGGCTTGTGTCCTGCCTTCAGTAATGCTCCAGTCAGCAGCACAATCACAGACACTCCAGGCAACAAACAGCTGCTCCTTGTAACTTCTGAGAAGTCACAGGATAAACCCTACTGACAGTGTGATGTATTAGAGATAAGATACATTTTTCTTGTCTCAATAACGCTCGGATAGTGGCTTATTTTCTCCAGCCAGAAAACAATTTAATTTTCTTTTTTGCATTTGAACGTGCAATGAGCACTGGAATAATTGGACTATAGAAATGATTTTGTTTTTGGTACTGTGTGTTTAGCAGGTGACTTAACGTTTCCTGTTCATAAAGTCAGATTTAAAGCATGAGACTTGGCTCTCAGGCAACACAGCCCTGCCAGACGGCAAATAACAATCAGATGAAGAATTCGGCTTTTGTATATCTCACTGCTAACTGCGTTATTAACATTTTACTGATGTGGCTTAACTTATCGATAAGAATGTAACATGAGCGCTTATATCTTTTTATCCCGTGTAAAATAAATTACAAAGTGCACTAAACTAATTCTACAATAAATGGATCTTATTAAACGTTAAAAAAATTAGGAAAAAGCTAAACAAATTCAATCCGTGCTCATTCAGAAAAAAAAGAACAGATATAAAGGATCCGATTTTCCATCTGGGTTTTGAGCTAAGGGAGACACTTTCATTACACAGGCTCAGCGTTCTCCTCCATCTGGAAATGACTTCAGCTGTGTATTATTTACATTGTATCTATTTTTATTGTTATTTACTGTTCAAGTCCTTCACTGGAGCTCCGGACCGCAGCGTACTGCAGCATTTTACGCATGACTGTACATTCCTATTTGTTAGGAAACATTAACAAAACAACAAAATACACATTTAGCAATAAAAATAAATACATAAACACATCCATTCATTCTTCATTCATGTGAAAAACAAATTCCTATATATTTTATTTCATCTGCAATGACCGGACAATTGAGGTGATTATTCACACAATGTATTGTATAAAAATGTTCCTTCCCTTTGCCAAAATTATCTATCTATCGATCTGTCTCTCGATCGATCTCTATCTATCTATCTATCTATCTATCTATCTATCTATCTATCTATCTATCTATCTATCCAGGTACCCGTGTAGTACTAAAACTCTGAAAAGTTGCAAAGCATGTACTGAACAGATACTATATAATAATAACAATAATTTTTAAAAAATCGATGCAAAATAGCCATGTAGGTGTAGAATGTATAAAATATTTCTTGTATGGCTGCAATAGTCATCTTCCGACTACATTAAACCTACATTTCCAAAGGTGTTTGATCAAATAAATTCACAAAAGGAGAAGGATATACAATAAAGCAGTGCAAAATAAATCCATAAAGCTGCATATATGAATATGATCAGCAATCCTACACCCGGTGACACTAATGGCCTGCCTAGACCAAGATCATCCTCAGCACACACCACTCTTCAGCCTGAAGCCAACACTTCCATTCACGTATAAATAAAGCACTCAGGTAACGCAATAATACGATTTACCATCCTATGATTCATAGGTGGATTAACAAAAAAATAGATATGCTTTCTACCTTTTTTTTTTAAGCGTAGATATGCAATATTCAATTACTTTGTTTGTTTTTGCATCCTGCAATCCCTAATCTTTTCTTTTTCTCCCCTTGTTTCAAAGGGTTAATTAAAAATAAATATTTAGAGCCTGGCTCCATACTGCTCTTCCCCGCATCTTATTTGTATATAGAAACGTTAATGAGTAACTATTGTGGCGCTGGTGGGTAGGAGAGCAGCGAGTCATATCTATGGATTATCCTGTGTATTACTCACCTGGCGCCTTGCTTGATATCCCCAATCATTTTATGGCTCTTCATCTTGTTGAAAGCTGCAGGGGAGGATTAGAGAAGATTGCGCTGTCCCCCACTGCCACCTCGTGGTCAACGGCGAAACTGCTCCTGCCAAAGGGGGCTGCCTGCTCTGCTTTGCGTTGAACTTAGCTCACAGACACTTGGGATTCGGAGGCTGAGCGCAAGCTGCAGCGAAATTCGTTGGAGGAAACAAAAAAGATATAAGATTTGTGCTTTCCAGCCAAGGCAACTGTCAGCAGGAAGGTGCAGGAACGAATGTGCTGTATATTTCTGCAATAACAACACAGTGTGTGTGTGTGTGTATGTGTGTGTGTGTGTGTGTGTGTGTGTGTGTGTATAGAGGCTGAATTTCTAAAGAGCTAACTGGTATCTTAGACTGCAGTTCTTTTCCAATATCTAATCAATGTCAACGAAATGTTCTACAATTAAACAGAGAACCCTTCTCCTGAGTCCTGACTATAGAAGTATATTTAAAGTGATCAGCCTAGCAATAGTAATCAGCCTAATAGTACCTATGAGCCCACTACATAGCCCTATAGTACAGTAGTATTCTTCATTTATATACTTTAGATAGCGCCCGTTGCGCGGTACAAAGTAATAGCTACAAAAAAGGAAGATAGTACAGGTAATACAATGCATTGTAAAGACAGTTAAAAAAAATAAAATAAAAAAACCGTAGTAAAAAATGAGAGAGGAACTTGCCATTGTCAGCCAACCATCTCGATGTAATGGATTTGCTATAGAAATGTAAAAGACATCGGACAGAAGACTCGTATTATGGGTACTTAGTAGAAGGTACATTGTATTTAAACAGACTTGTAAAGCAATTGAACAAAAATGATACAATACAGCTGATATTCCAGCAAATGTAACAACATTTCATGCAATGCTAATGCATCCAATATGTAAGAAATGTCGCAAAATACAATAGAGGATCCATAAAGTAGAGCTCAAGGCATTCTACACTGTTCACGTAGATAAAGTGCATCCATCGGTCTAATGCACAGGGCACGTACAGCAGGGCAGGTCAAACCCATTACCAGCAGTTGCTACCAGTTCAGCAGCTCGCTGACCTTTTCCAAGGACGCTATTAAGATTATCTTGTATAGTGGATGTAGAAAGCACACGATGTCAGCAGCAATTAATGTAAATTATAATTACCAAGCAGATAACTACATTTAATGTGATCATTTATGGACACTGTATTATGCTTTCAACGATCTAATTGTGAAAATTAAAAGGTCTTTTATCAATGACTGTGCCCTCTCCATTAGTGCACAGACAATACGAGTCTCTATGCAATGTTCTTTTTACACT